GTACGTGAGGCGAGTGTTGATGTTCTCCCCACACGCGGACAACAAGAAACAGAGGCAGGGCTAGATGTTAGCACAGAGAGGGATCGGGGACAGCCCACGGGTCAGAGGTAGAGGCCATGACACAAACTTGGATGCTTATCCCCGAGACATGGAGGGAGAGACTGTGTGTTAGACAGAAGCCGTCTGCCGAGAGACACCCCCGGCGATGGATTTAGAATCTATCTAGTACAGATAGACACACATTCATTTTTATATATAAAGATAAGTCATACCGTATTTTAGTAAACACAAGGTAATAATACCGAATCCAAATAAATAAATAGTGTGTGACGCTTTGGTAACAGCGTTGTTACCATCTTCAGACAAAAGTATTGAATGAGAAATTTTACCACAGTATGTTTTAAATAGTTACTGTTATCAAGTGTGTAAACATGATAGCAGATAAGAAGAATTTAGTTTTCTGAGAAACACAGAATATTATTCTTAGAATTTGAAGTGGAATTTTTTTTATATTTTTTATCCCAATAAACATTTTCAATTGTATTTTCCAGTGATAGCTATCAATTTGCCATATAATAGGCCATCTAACCATGCAGGTGTTGTCAGCTGGAGCCAGTAAAAATATAATTATACAGCAACACATTTTGCTCATTTATCGACCTTTCTATCAGAATACTTTGGTCGTGTTTTATATTTATTGGTTGGTGCAAATCTTAGACATAAAAAAGATAAGCTTTTGTTTTTTACAAAATCAACTCTCCCATCAGGACAATTATCACCATATATCTATCCTTTTATATTGTCACGAAATTGGTTTTATGTAAATCAAATGTAAAGCAAATGTCTCTTTTAGTAAGTATGTAAATACTTTTATGTTTAATGTTATATAAGGAAGATATGTAAATTCTGTAACTGATTTGTCATTTCTTGTTTCTAGTTTTGTTGTGTGGGAAACATCACTCACAAAGTGTATCAATTGATTAATAAAATTCTCATTCAAACTGTGACAATATTGTTGCACCATGTTGTGGTTTGGCAGACTCTTTAACCTTGATTCTTTCCTCAGACCTGTCTTGTATCTTTCCAAAACGTGTTTCAACCATCCGACAAGGTTATATAAGGGAATATATAAGGGAATAATGAGATAATTCTATTTCAAGTAGCCTCCAGAGAATAATTTACAATTAAACCTGTCTATAGCGCCCCCTCCAAATAGCGCCTCCCTCTCTATAGCGCCCGATTTTAAATAGGTAGTACGATGCGATTCACATTAAAAGTGACCTGTCTATAGCACCCTATTTTGGTTAGTCCCAAGAGGGGGCGCTTTAGACAGGTTTAACTGTATTTATTTCTTACATTAAGGAATAAAGATAAGTGTAGTCACACAGTATAACAAGATACAAATGGTGATTTTATTATATATTATTTATTTATAATACAGATTCTGGGGTCGTTGGTTTTGAACCGCTACGACCCGGGATTGAATCCCGCATTGGGCACACACACACACTTATTTCTAATTTAAAAAATGCTCAAATGGCCCCCGATTCTTGCAAAAGTCCAACCCCACCAGCCAGTGCAAGTAACCAAACGGGGCTCTGGCATATTTGTAAGTGCAAATTCGAACTGTTTTTCACATGTGTAGACATGTAATGCACTTCAGTTAAAGCAGTCAGCCACTTCTGCCCACCATGATTATCATGGTCAGTATCACGTGTACAGGGATAAGTGGGAAAAAATACACATTATGTTTATTTAAATAAATAAATAATAAATTCAATTTGAATTTAAAATATATGAAAAATAACATTACAAATTAAAGTAAAATAGTTGCATTAGCCATGATGCAACAATATTTGCATATTTTTCTTTTCTCGCATGTAATAGTTACATATTTACTGCATTTTTCTTCTTAAAAAAAAAAAAGAAAAAAATCAGCATATGGAATCACTAAAGGTAATACAGCAATCACTCCGATACAGGGGTCAGCTATCAGGGAACGCTCTTTCATTCTGAGAAATTCCAGACCATTTTGTTACTTTTAATCAAACCAATTCTGCCCAGAAGTCCAACCCCTCCTCTACGTGGCGGGCGGAAGAAGCTGCACAAGTAAGGGACTGCCCTGAAGGACGAAGTACGGTGTCGTGAGCCCCAAACTGCTACGGTAACCGTGAAGGCCTAAAGGGAACTCTGAAATGCGGCTGACTAACGGGGCAATGGCATCTCCCCCCCCCCCCCCCCCATCCCTTTCAATGTGGAGAAGATATCACCAATCAAACCAATCCTTACTTTGTCTGCCTACCTTTTTCTTCAAAGCAAATAAATCCCTCAGGACTCCAGTTGGTATGTCCTGCAAACTTCTATTTTATTTGGATTTCTCCAGTTTGAAGGTAAAATATTTGCTTGTCCCCACACATTTGCTTGTTGGCTCTTGAGAATGCTTCTAGCATAACAGATATCAAAAGGCAGTGCCTAGAGCATCGCCTTCCTCCTGGAGCATGGAGGGGTGCGTGCGTTTGACCTCCTTGGAGCGTTGGGGGGGGGGGGGGGTCGCTAGGTCTAACGAGGGTAGCTGGAGGCTAATTGCCCTGCCATCGTCCTGGTGGAGCATCTTTAGGGCGGGTGTGTGGCGCGCAGCGAGAGCGCGCCGTTCCCGTCCGGCCGGGGCACCCAAAAAGAAAAATATGTCAAAAGAGTCAATTTACCTCTCCAGTTCATTAGTCAACGTCCAGGCTTCACATACATACACAAAAACTGACCAAGCAAAACATTTAATTATCCTTTTCTCAAAATTATATTTGAATAATTTTATACAAGGTTTCAAAGCCCAGAAAATTTCCTACAACCTCAGAAAAAATGCATCCATGGTATTTGATTATTTTTATTGTGCAGTTTAGAATTGAGTTTTTCATTTCACTTTTCTATATTGAAAATAAATAATCAAAAACTCTCTTGCCTTTGTTACTAAACCTTTTGTAGAATAAATTCTCTTTTCAAGGAATATTTTGAGTACTTAAGTACTCAAGAAGTGGTTTAAAACCTTTGCAGAAAAGGATGAAAACTTCAAAAAAACATTTTTTTCAATTTAATTTTTTTTTAGATTTTTTAACTTTCTATGAATTAAGGAAAAAAAAACCAACTCCTTATCGTGCAAATGAGAGCTCCTGATGGCCTGCGCCATCTATCGGAATAAATATAAACTATTCGTATATTTTTAATAATTCCAGAATTTGCCAAATATCCATTCTTGATTAATCAAGAAAAGCTAACCACGTACGCGTTTCTGGCTGTTGGCTTCGTCAGCATGGTTCAAGCTGTACCTCAACGACCAAAAAAAACTGCCCAATAAATTGAGCCTACCCCTAAAAAAAGCAGTTATTAAAAATGCATAGAAGCTCCTTACAATATAAATGCTAATAAGTATAAAACTATTGCATGGAACAAACATATATAGTAAAATATATGTAGCAAGCTATACAGAAAAAAAAACATAATTAGTAATTAAAAAAATATTTCTAAACAATAATCTAAATCGTAAATGATTATATGAATATATAATATAAAATGAATATTCCTTATGAGAATCAAACAGTATACCTTATCTAAAAAAACGCAGTAGCAATTAAATTAGAAAAATATTTCTAAACAATAATATTTCCAAAGAGTTTAAATAATATAAATATATATAATCTTACCTTTCGAAAAATGCAGCGTGTAAAATAACAAAATAAGTGTAAAGCTATTAACCAATCAAGTTCGTCGCGACCAGTGCGGCGCCAAGCGGCAAAAGGCGGGAACTAATCCATTTCAGTTAAATAATTTTTAAAAAAAGTACATTAACCTTTGTAGTTTTTTGAATAGCCTATATGTTAAACGAAATCTTCAGCTACCTACATGGAAATTCCATAATGATTGAGTCAGTAGATTTTGCGTGATGCGATAACAAACATCGATTTCGCATTTCATTTTTATAGATATAAGGAGATAAGGATAAATGAGTTTTAAAAATTGTAAAAAAAAAATGCATCGGCCGGGAATCGAACCCGGGCCGCCTGCGTGGCAGGCGAGCATTCTACCACTGAACCACCGATGCTTATAAAAAAATGGCCATATTTGGGTATTCATTCCATTCCGGATTACTCCGGGTAAAAAAAAAAAGTTCTTCAAATGAAAAAAATAAATAGCCAAAAATATTAATCAAAATGTAGCCGAAAAATTTCCTCAGGTTTATAAAAAGAGACATGCAAAATTTGGTACCAATTTGTTCAGTAGTTTTTGAGTTTATCGCGAGACAGACAGACATTGACTTTATATATATAGAGATATATTGCTAATTTCGGAAATATCCGATTTTATATTTCTCTATATATATGAATCGCTTTTAAAAACAATAGTTTCTCTCATATGTTGGTTTTTATATTCAAAAATAATTTTTAAAAAGAGAGAAATCCCGAGTACAAAACGTAATGGTGTAAGTGAATAATGATCCACAACACCAATTTTGTAAATTTAGACAGAAGCCAACCTGTATAGCATGGTTTTGGGTTTTGACCCTCATCATTACAGATGCAGCTTCGATATTTCACAGTATCCTACGAGAGGAGTTATGAAATTGGCCGAATTTTCCAAGAAGGTGTTTAATCTGGTTAATTAACGGGGCTGTTTTTTATCCTAGAAAACAACATAGAGTTGAGGTAGAATGGTATTAATAATGTACCTTTGTATACACACATTTATTCTATATATTTTTATTCTATTATTTATTATTAGTCATATATATATATATACATTAATACTAGCCGAATGACCCGGGCAACGCCCGTGTTTTACCCGACTGTAGATGTTACAACGGTGATCCTTAGGTCGCTGGTTCAAATCCGGCTCGAGGGAGCATCCGTGACAGAGGCGGCCGATGACGGTCGTGAGTATATAAACATACATTTTGTGTAGAAATAGGATTAGTTGACTTTTTAAGGTAAACTTATTCATACAGTTTGTATCCCTCGATAGCTCAGTTGGCAGAGCGGAGGACTGTAGATGTTACAACGGTGATCCTTCGGTCGCTGGTACAAATCCGGCTCGAGCGAGTTTGTTTTTTTTATTTTTATTGGCAGCCGGCGAGCACGTGACCTCCCTGTGCGCGCGCATCCGTGACAGAGGCGGCCGATGACGGTCGTGACTATATATAGGGATATACAGTTATCAGCGTCATGCACAATTCTTTCTTATTTCTGTCACCGTTTGCTTTTGGTTCAGTGGTAGAATGCTCACCTGCCACGCGGGCGCCCCGGGTTCGATTCCCGGCTGATGCATTTTTTTTTTTACAATTTTTAAAACTCATTTATATTATTAAAATATATGTGCTTTTCCTGTCTATGTACAGATATATGGTATATGTACACAAGTATATATACAAGATATTTGCAAATTGCGTGGCAAATTCGCCCTTTCGCTCGCAAGCAGCGCCTCTAGCGGTGAAGATGGGAGGTAATATCAGCTGACCTAATGGACATGTAAAACGTGTTTTAACAGGACATAGAGAAAAATCTGGAAAATATATTTTTCGGATTTTTAGTCAAGAAAAATAAATTGACAGGTTCTGGGAAAAAAGTAGTTGTTTTTTATTCAGAAAATGATGATGACAATATTGCTGTATCATATATTTGATACAGTTATCAGCATCATGCACAATTCTTTCACGTTAAGTCACGTGTCAAGTTACGGTAAGTAAAAATTAAAAAATTAAAAAAAGATGCAGAAACCCGGGATCGAACCAGGGACCTTTAGATATTCAGTCTAACGCCCTCCTAACTGAGCTATTTCGGCTTATTTTAGTTATTTCTATAGAAGCTTCTATCTTTATAATTATGTATATTTTCAAAAAGTCAATTCACACCTCTTCGCTGGAGACCATGGGAATACTGACTAATTCATTATGCTAACATAATTATAATTATAAAATCAATAATACAAGTATCAGAGTCATCTACAATTCTATCATCGTTTGCTTTTGTGAATGGAATAAATACCCAAATAGGGCCATTTCTTATAAGCATCGGTGGTTCAGTGGTAGAATGCTCGCCTGCCACGCGGGTGGCCTGGGTTCGATTCCAGGCCGATGCATTTTTTTTCTTTCTTACAATTTTTAAAACTCATTTATATTATTATCCCTGTATATATAAAAGTCAGCGTATGTATGTATGTTTGTCCAGTATACACGTCCACACGACGTAACTAATCTGACTGATATTTTAACAGTATATAAAGTAGAATCTGGAAAAACTCTTAGTGAAAATTTCAGGTCTCTATTACGAATATCCGTCGTGTTATTTGCAAATTTGCTCTTTCGCTTGCGCCTCTAGCAGTGAAAATGGGGGGTAATACCAGCTGACCTAATGTACATGTAAAGTTTGGAGCGGGACGTTTCACAAGAGTGACATCCACGGTTCCAATTTATAATTGCAACGAATAGTATTTGAATAAAAACATTTAATTGAGTAAAACCCAGGCGTTGCCCGGGTCATTCGGCTAGTATATATATATATATATATGGTAATTTGAACCAACAACCCCATATTGTATATAACTTATAATAAGATTTTCATGTTGTATAATAGAAACACATCTGTAAATGATTATACGCATTATTGACATGTATCATTACATCATCATATGTAATGTACTTTGTACAAACTGAGGATAAATAAATACAACTCTGTAATAGATTAAGAGTTGAGCTAAAGCAAAAGGTCAAAACGTTTAAAATCGAGATAGATGTAGCAGTCTCAAAACAATAAGGTCTAAAGATGGAAACTGCCACGGCGCCAGTTTAGAATTTCGCCAGACGATCCACACTTTTCACATCTGCTGAAATGGAATACTCCCTTTCTCAGAAAAGATATATAAGGCCCCCGTGGTAGCCAAATATATAGTCACTTGACAGGCACTTCACCATCAGCGTGAGGCCTCGTCGGTTGTCACCAAGGTCCTCCTCATCCACCATGTAGACCAGTAAGAACTCTTCCATCTCCATCTTTCGCTCCTAGCTCAACTTTCATCTGTTCACGGAACTTTCTTAGTGCAACTGTGTCTTCGATTTTGGGTGGACATTCCAAAGATTTCCACTCTGCCTCGACCATATTTCAGTGAAAAACAAGAAGTGAACGCCCTTTATGACGTCACTCCCCCAAGTCGCTACTATCTTTGGAAATGTCCTCTCTCCCTCACAAAGCTATCATCTTGACCGCTATCTTCATGATCGCCATTTTTTTAAAACACGTGTTTCACACTAACCAATTAGGTTTTCTCACAAATCTCGCCAACGCCTTAATCACAACACACAATATACATTAAACATTTTACATGTTAATTGATATCACCAAATAAAAAAATTTGGTTAAGTCTTATATAGACTTTATGACGCAAAAGAGAATTCATTCTCTACATATCACCATTTTGGACAAACGAAAATATCATTTCACATTTTCCCAGTTTCATAGAGTCATAGAAACACCGATGTTTACCAAAGGGATATGATCCAGTTACACACCACAGTTTCAACTTCTCTTCAAAAGAGACAATTTTTGTTCAATTTTCCACTACTTAACATTTATCTAATCATTATAATAATCTTTAATTATATTCTATTTTGTATAAAATCTTGAATAATTAATTTTATTTTTACCTTACAATTATATAATCAATTTTTAGTCCTACATTATATAAAAAAAATACTTTAATCAAATTTACTTTTATTTTCATAATATTATTTTAGTATTGAAAAACATTGTTTGTTTTCTGAAAATCATTTTCTATTCATTAATTATATATTTTTATATATTACATGTTTGATTTTGTCCACTTACACTTTTTTACCCGCAATCATATTTCTATCTTTTTATTCACTATATTTTATATTTGTTTAAATAGCTTTATTATATGACATAGTTTATCATCAACTATCGGGCATCTCCAACAATCGTTTTCAACAATCATATTCTCTAACCACTTCCCTATACTTTTCATCACTCTCTTTTTCAGCCATTGCTTCACTTCATTGTAGAAAAACGACAGCACTGCTTGACATTTTTTTTTTCGATTTCCTAATTTTAACAAACTCTTTGAATAAAGTTCCTCAGATTTAAAAATCCCAACTTCTGGCCTGAACACGCTTCAAGAGTTAATTTCAATCATCCGCAGAGCACGATCACCAACGCATGCACAAAGCGTTCACTTTTTAAAACTTTCAATTTTTTTTTCAGCTCTAGCGGACCACAATCAACCTTTGATTTCGAGTCAAGTCAGACCACCTACTGTCGCTACAACAATTCTACTTATCGTATGGCTCTATTTCACTCCTTTCCCAATCATATTAATGAACAACTATTTCTTCAACTTTTAAACCCAATAACCCTAAAATTGTGACAAAGCACGGTAACCCTTATATAGGATCGCAAGTGAAACATTGCCAAGGAAGAGGTTCAAGTCTATATCCTCGCTTTGCACCTAGATCTAATTATTTAGTTGCATGTGCAATGCTTACAATTGCATATTCTTCAACTACTAACCCTTTCCAACGCCCGCCAATATTCTCTTTGAGTGTGAATTTTATGTCATCATTTTATTTTATTCATAATTTTTTTAAATCAAACAAAAATGTCATTTTTATTTCACTTTTATATATCCAAACAAATCATCTTGTTATAGACCTTTTTAACCCTCACATTTTAAATTAATTAAAAGAAATTTAAATTACTTACCTGTGCTAAAGAGGCTTTACCCGTTTAAACCCTTTCACTCCCGGGGCCCATCTATGGTAATTTAAACCAACAACCCCATTTTGTATACTACTTATAACAAGATTTTGATATTGTATAATAGAAACACATCTGTAAATTATTATACGCATTATTGACATGTATCATTACATCATCATATGTAATGTACTTTGTAAAAACTGAGGATAAATAAATAAAACTCTGTAAAAGATTAAGAGTTGAGCTAAAGCAAAAGGTCAAAACGTCTAAAATCGAGATAGATGTAGCAGTCCCAAAACAACAAGGTCTAAAGATGGAAACTGCCACGGCGCCAGTTTAGAATTTCGCCAGTACGATCCATACTCTTCACATATGCTGAAATGCAATACTACCTTTCTCAGAAAAGATATATAAGGCCCCCGTCGTAGCCAAATATATAGTCCCTTGACAGGCACTTCACCATCAGCGTGAGGCCTCGTCGGTTGTCACCAAGGTCCTCCTCATCCACCATGTAGACCAGTAAGAACTCTTCCATCTCCAATTTTCGCTCCTAGCTCAACTTTTATCTGTTCACGGAACTTTCTAAGTGCAACTGTGTCTTCGTTTTTTGTGTGGACATTCCCAAGCTTTCCACTCTGCCTCGACCAAGACTGCCTGTACTTTGTGAGAACTGTAAAAGGTCTTCCAAGGTGCAGAGAGGTACTGGAAAACTCCTTATCCTGACTGTTCCTCTCAGTCAACACAGTATAGCGAGAGTCAACAGAATCTCTTCACATTTTAAGTCGACAGGATTCTACAAGAGGCTACCAGACCTCACCACATATATATATATAGTATATTTTAAACTGTTTAATAATGACACTTTTAATATATTTGACATATCTTCCAATTAGTTAGAGCCGAAACTTTATAATATTATACCCTTCTATTAAAATGTACACTTTTCCTATTTACTACCCCCCCATATTTTGTATATATGCTATATCTTTATTAATATAACCTGTACACCCCTATTTGTATTTAAACTGAAAATGGTGACGTCAAAATAAATATCCAAAGAGCGGTCAGCTGTGGGCCAGAGGGGAGGAAAAAGCCAACATCCAGCCCAGATGGGCCCCTCGAGGGATTCTTTTTAGACCGACCCCTGTCAACAGGTTTTAGCAGGGGGTCAGCGGCAGGATGTTCGACAGGGTGTCCATCGGCAGACCGCTTCTGTCTCTCGGTCTCTTTCTCTCCATGTCTCGGTGATATGCATCCAAGTTTGGGTCATGGCCTCTATCTCTGTCCCTTGGGCTGTCCCCGATCACTCTCGGTGCTAACATATAGCCCTG